CACTACATCCTTTCATGATGTAGGTTCAGGTACTCAGCATCCAGATCACGCTTAGCTCGATTCTCGATCCGCATTCATCAGCTTTAGTGGTGAGTCCTCATATTCTGAGAACAATAAACATGCTTTCATTTTAGTCTTTATTTTCAGTTTACAGTTCTGTTAGAGTTAGCTGGGGGTATGTCACAACAACTCAACTCAGTTAGAGGCTTTTCAGACATAGCAATAGATTCATCTTGAGTTATTATGTGGTTGTCAGTTATCACTAAACTCTTAGTATGTTTTATATATTCAGACTAGTTGGGTTTTCCCCATTTTCAGTTATCCACTATTTTAGCTTCCACATAGTACATATCTTATTCAGTTATTCTTAGTATGCTTGATATATTCCAGACACAGAGTTAGCTTGGGGTTACTCGTGATCCTAGGTCCCGCGTTATGTCAAGGGGGTAGCCTCAGGGCGTGACAATATTTATATGACAGAAAAAAAAAATTATTTTTCCATATCAAATATTATTTAATTATACATTTAGTTAACTGATTCTATCGATACAAAAGTCTAAGTTCAGTGATGTTATTGATACAAAATAAAGTTTAATGACTTTGTTAGATAAATTTCCAAAGTTGAATGAATTTTTTGAGATATTAACTCATAAATCATGTCACGCCCCGAAGCTACCCCAGGACACGGACACAGGACCTAGGATCACGAGTGACCCCAACCTAACCATGATGGCATATCATAAGCATACTAAAGATAAATTGAATCAATAAATACTGTGAGGAAGCTAATCATAAAATAATCTGAAATGATGGGGAATACCCATACAAAATCTAAATATATAAAAAACTAAGAGTTTAACAAGAACTGAAAAGTCAAACTAAAATACTAAAGCCGATTCAAACTATGTCAGAAATAAATCCTATACTGACTAGAAATGTTGGTACATGCCCCTGCTAGGTCTAGCAACTACTGAAAAACTAAAGACTAAAGAACAGGAAAATAATCATGTCACTCATCCTTGAAGAATGAGGACTCACCACTGATGCTGCTGAATGGAAGATCGGGAATCGATATATGCATGATCTGGAAATACAGAACCTGAACCTACTTCACGAGAATATGTATCGCAGAGTATGCATCAGTACTTGAAAGGTACTGAGCATGCAGAATAGAGTAAAGTTAAACAATAAACATAACTGAACCAAAGCATATATCTGAGCAATGATAAGAGATAAGAATGATACTAAACTGAGAATATTGAACATGAAATTACTGAATGCAATGACCAAGTTTATAACATGCTAAACTAAAATCCAACAAGAACTGATGACATGGTCAATGAAATAGAACCTGACTGTGGGAGCAACTAATAACCGACATAAAATTACATGAGATAAATATGGAGTCCAATGTATATGCCCCATCGAGAGGACCCAATATACCCTGCCAAAGGTATAAAGGCATGACTGACATGATCACTAAAATGATGCCCACAGAGGGGACTTACAACATACGGGGGACGTAGTACTGGGACTTGAGGGTGACCGACCCTAGTCCACTCGATATTAAACTTCTCTAAATTGATTATGTAATTAATAATTTATGACTGAATTTTTGTAACACTGGATAACTCAAATACTGACATGCTAACTGAAAATGCAACATTAATGTACTGATAATGAAACATTCAAATCTGAGGCATGTATATCTGAAACAACTGACCTAGCATGTTTAATTTATTAAATAAAGGAATTACATAGCTAGGGTTCTAAATTTATGAGAGAATCTACACAAAATAATACTAAAATCATGATAATCTGATTTGGATCATTCTAACAGCTAAAACCCAACAATTTCTAACATTCAAGAAACCTTAGATTTTGATAAAATTAAGGGAACCAAGATTGTGACTGAATTCTAGGGACCTAGTGGATGAAAGGAATCCACTAGTGAAATCCCACATACCTGATGAAGAATTCCATGGAGAAATCTTTCAATTTCAGGCTGGAACTAAAGGAAACCTTGTTGTGTTCTTGGAAAGCTTTGGTCGACTCTTTCTCTTCTCTAGTTCTAAGTTTGATCAATTATTTGAGAAATAATTGACTAGGGCAAGTTCTAATTAAATTGCCAGGCTAAAACTGACCAAAACTAATTTAGGGGTTAAACGACATAGTTTAGGTGTCCAACGCATAAAGAAAATACCAAACGACCCTTGACTTAAAAGTTGTTGGGGCCACCGACGGACCGTGGCTGGACCGACGGTCTGTGCTAGTCAACCGTCATTTGGCAATTGGGAGTTGAAACTAGGGGTCTGACCTATGGGCCCGGACCATGGACTGTGGCCTGACCAATGGTCCGTAGGTCCTGGCGTGGGTCTACCCTTAGCCAATTTTTCTGAGGGTTCTGGGGGAAGGGTCGCAGGTGGTGAACCACGGACAACCAGAATGGACCGTGGGTCACCCTACGGTCCATGGATGATGCCCGTCGGCGCCACCTGCAACTTTTGAAATCTGCATTTTAGTTGTTCTAGCATACGGGGTGTTACATTTTCTCCCCCTTGGGAACATACATCCTCGAATAAAGACTAAACTAGCTTAATAGGGAGGGAAAGAGGTGTGAACCCTACCACTAAGTGCTAGAGATTGATTTCTGACTGAATTAAGTTCCAAGAACATGTAAATACGCTGAAAATGCAAGTACAAACTGAAGGAACATGATACTAAGGCTGAAGTTACACATGAATGACTGGAAAACTTAAGAGGAACTATTACCTCAAGATGGAAAGAAATCGGAAGGAAATAGATGAGGATACTTGGCCTACATGGCTACTTCTGCTTCCCAAGTAGCTCCCTCTACGGACTAACTCCTCTACAAAACTTTAACTGAAGCGACTTCTTTGTTTCTCAACCTTCGAACCTGACGATCAAGGATTTCCACTGGTACCTCTTCATAAGTGAGACTATCCTTCACCGCCACACTTTCTAAAGGTATAATAGATGCTGGATCACCCACACACTTCTTCAAAAATGAAATGTGAAAAATTGGATGGACTGTTGCTAGTTCTGTTGGCAACTCTAACTCATAAGCAAATTACCAACCCTTTTCAAGATCTTGTAGGGGCCTACATATCTAGGACTGAGCTTCCCTTTCTTACCAAATCTTATCACCCCCTTCATAGGTGACACTTTCAGGAAAACCCAATCATCAACTTGGAACTCTAATTCCCTTTTTCTTATGTCTGCATAGGGCTTCTGGCGACTCTGGGCTATCTTAAGTCTATCTCTAATGAGTTGCACTTTCTCCATAACATCATGAATTGAATATGTCCCTATCAAGGTTGCTTCACCTACTTCAAACCAACCAACTGGAGATCTACATCTACGCCCATGCAATGCCTCATACGAGGCCATCTGAATGCAGGAATGGTAACTATAATTGTAGGTGAACTCTATAAGAGGAAGGTGATCATCCCAACTACCCTTGAAATTGATCACGCAAGCTCTCAACATGTCCTCTAAGGTCTGAATGGTACGCTCTTCCAGGTCATCCGTTTGTGGATGAAATGTTGTGCTAAGATTAACCTGAGTACCAAGACCTTTCTGAAATTACTTCCAGAAATAAGAGGTAAACTGAGGACATCTATCTGACAAAATAGACAAAGGAAGTCCATGCAAAGCTTGGCGTAGTCCTCCATCGAATCTGTAGTCTTAACAGCTAAAAAGCGTGCAGACTTAGTGACTCTATCAACTATCACCCAAATGGAGTCATGTTGTCTGCGAGTGCGAAGTAAACCTGTGATGAAGTCCATGTTGATCACTTCCCACTTCCAAGTAGGAATGTTGATCTCTTGAGTCATACCTCCTGGTTTCTGATGTTCTACCTTCACTTGCTGGCAATTAGGGCACTTAGCCACAAAATCCGCTATATCCCTTTTCATACCATTCCACCAAAAGACTTCTCGCAGATCACGGTACATCTTAGTGGCGCCTGAATGAATAAAATATCTAGAATTATTGGTTTCGTTGTCTCAACTCACCTACCTTAGGAACACATAATCGACCCTGATAGCGAAGCACACCATCTCCCCCTTGGGAGAAAACTTCAACTCTCTGCTAATGGACCGCACCCTTTAGTTGGAGCAATATCAGATCACTATCTTGTTTTTCCTTAACCTCCGCTACCAATGAAGATTCTGAACCGTTCTGAACCGTTACACCACCATTCGATACGCTCATAAGACGAACTCTTAAGCGAGCAAGTCTGTAAACATCCTTTTCTAGTTCCTTTCTTTCTTCGACACTGCCCATAAATAGTCTACTAAGAGCATCTGCTACTACATTTGCCTTACCAAGATGGTAATGCACACTCATATCATAATCTTTGAGGAACTCAAGTCATCTTATCTGGCAAAGATTCAGCTCTTTCTAGGTGAACACATATTGAAGACTCTTATGGTCTGTGAATACATCTAGATGAACACCATACAAGTAATGTCTCCAAATCTTAAGTGCAAACACCATTGCTGCAAGCTCGAGGTCATGAGTTGGATAATTCTTCTCATGCACCTTAAGTTGTCTAGAAGCATAAGTTATAACCTTACCTCGCTGCATCAACACACAACCTAGGCCGACTCTGGATGAATCACAATAGATAACATAACCGTCTGAACCCTTTGGTAGAGTCAAAACAGGAGATGTAGTCAACCTAGTTTTTAGTTCTGCGAAGCTTTTCTCACAATCATCTGACCACTGAAACTTGACCTTTTTATATGTCAACTTAGTCAATGGAGAGGCTATGGATGAAAATCCTTCCATGAACCTTCTGTAATAACCCGCTAGACCTAAGAAACTTTTGATATCTGTAGGAGAGGTAGGTCTGGGCCATTGTTTCACTACTTCTATTTTCTAAGAATCCACTCGGATCCCTTCGCTAGACACAATATGCCCAAAGAAGGCAACGGATTGCAACCAAAACTCACATTTGCTAATTTAGCGAATAACTAGCGATCTTTAAGAGTTTGCAGGACAACTCTCAAATGATTCGCATGTTCTTCCTCATTCCTAGAGTAAATGAGAATATCATCAATAAAGGCGATAACAAACAAGTCCAAATATTGCTTGAACACTTTGTTCATCAAGTCCATGAAAGTTGCAGGAGCATTGGTTAGTCCAAATGACATAACTACAAATTCATAATGACCATACCAAGTTCTGAAGGCTGCTTTTGGGATGTCACTATCTCTGACTCTAAGCTGATGATAACCGGATCTGAGGTCTATCTTTGAGAAATGACTAGCACTCTGAAATTGGTCAAACAAGTCATCAATCCTGGGGATAGGGTACTTATTCTTGATTGTGACTTTGTTCAACTGCCGATAGTCAATACACATTCTTAGGGAAATACTGGATCTGATGAAGCCCTTATCCAAAAGGTCTTTCAACTGCTCTTTCAATTCCTTAAGCTCAGTTGGAGCTATTCTGTAAAGAGGAATAGAAATAGGCTAGGTATCTGGAAGGAGATCAATTCCAAAGTTGATTTCCCTTTCGGGAGGAACTCCGAGAAGATCTTCTAGAAACACTTCTGGGAACGGAACTCATTAACTACATGAACTAACTCAAGAGTTTGGGTTTCAAATATTGAATCCTTAACCAGAACTAGATGGTAATGATAACCCTTAGAAATCATTTTTCTAGCCTTAAGGTAAGAAATGAATCGACACATAGGCAATAAGCTACTACCCTTCAATTCTAAGATTGGTTCATCTGGAAACTGAAAATGAACAATCATAGTTCTACAATCGACTGAGGCATAACAGGAATGTAGTCAATCCATGCCTAGAATGATATCAAAGTCTACCAATTCTAACTCTACAACATCTGCTGAGGTGACTTTCTTGGAGACTGTGACAGGGCAATTTTTGTATACCTGTCTAGCTATAACTGGGTCACCGACTAGAGTAGGGACTGAGAAGGGTTCTGAGAGAGAATCTGGACTAACACTGAAGTTGACTGCTATATAAGGAGTTACAAAGGAAAGAGTTTCCCCTGGATCTAACAATGCATAAACATCTAAGTCAAAGATGTGTAATGTACCAGTGACTACATCAGGCGAATCTTCATGATCCTGGCGAGCTTGGAGAGCATACAACCTATTTTGGCACTGTCCGCCACTTATACCATGAGTTTCCCTGCTGAGTCAGGCGACCTATTGGTGTTGCTGAAGTTGTGGACTGAGCTTTACCATTATTACCTCCTTGACCCTGTCTAGAAGGACAATTCCTCAACTTGTGACTAGACTGACCATACCCAAAACATCCTTCTTTTCATGCAAGATACTCTCCCAGATGGTTCTTACCAAACTTAGGGCAAGTTGGGTAGGTTTTGGTACCTGAAACACCTCCATGAGACTTAAAGCATGATGCCCTACCCTTTTGATCTTGTCTGAATTTGAAAGATGGAACACTAGGTGATGAAGGTGTTGGAGCTGAAAATTTCTGTCGACCCTGCGAGCGATTTCCACTACCCAATTTCTGCTGAGAATAGTCATAGTTTCTAGTCCTAGCCTTCTTGTTCTCCTTAGCATGTTCCATAAGCTTATCATCCTCAACCTGCTGATCATGAGTCATGAGACTAGAGATTCTCATATTTTCCAACAACATAGCATTCCTACACTCTCTCTTCACCAAGTCTGACACTCCATATAGAAACTTATTCATCTGAGCCCTGGAATCAGCAACCATGTGAGGAGAATACCTGGA